AAGGCGGGTCTGGCTCGGGCCGAGGGCCCCGGGGAGGGGGGTTGGGCCGGTTCCACGCGCGCGCTCGGGGGCTGCGATGTCTGGGATGCGCGGACCGGCGGCGCCCCCTTCGCCGGGCACCCAGCCGGGGATGCTCCCTGGCACCGGGTCCCGGAGAGCAGCGAGAACCGTCTGTCTGCGAGTCAGGATCTCCTTTTGGGGGGGGGGGAGGAAGGGAAGGCGCCTTTTCTTTCACGCCTCCCGCCACGAAATGCGGGCAAGCGTGGCTTTGCCGGCTGGGTGTCGGTCGGGGCAGGGCCGAGTTCCCCTGGCGCAGGGCGAAACAGCCCGAGGCCGGTGTGTGTGTTTGTGTGTTTTTGTGTGAGTGTGTGTGAGACCCGTCCTTAGAAGCTTCTTTCCTGGAAGAAGCCTGTGGGCTGTCGCCTTGAGGGCTAGTGGGCTTGGTATTCTGACAAGCTGGAACGAGATGTACGTCGGGTTTTGTCTTGAAGGGGGATGGGCGGGGGAATGTAGCGCCTTTTCCAGTTTATGTGCCCTAATCGTTAGGACTGGGAAAAGGACGAGATTAATCCTATTTGGGGGTGTGTGTGTGTGTGTGATACTTTTGAGAATCCCTGCTGTGATTTTTGCCGTATGTATGTCCTCTTTGCACTCTCTCAAGCTGTACAAAAAGCTTAATAAAGGTGAGACAGGATTCTTTATTGTGCTTATTAAGCTTAAAGTGTTCAAATCATCTCAACCCTCAGGTTCTTAACCAGCTTCTAGCAGTGAGTGGCCCACTAGAGCCCTCAGCAGAGTAGGAAAACCAGCCAGGGAGCCGAGGAGGCTACCTGTCCTTTTAAGTTTCTGTCTGAAATTGAGGTAGCCAGTTAGAACATTTCCCCCTCAAGCTACTTACTCCTCAAGAGCTCTAAGGACTTAGTAGAGGTTTAACTTAGGGAATGAGGTACATGTGAGATAGAATTTCTCTCTTTTATCTCATTATGACTTTTTTTTTTGCCTGTGTGGCTTGAAACTGTTAGTAGGTGACCCGTTTATCTGGCATTTTGCACATTAGCTTTTTTCAAGTGACATCTTTCATTCAATAAATATTCTATCCAAGGTGGCTCTCATTTGTAACAGTGAAAGCAATAAAATATACTGAGTTCAAACAACACTATCCTGGCAAGACACCTAGACCAGATTTTGAACTCCCTGCCCCCAACCCCCATCCTCACCTCCCATTGTGTCTGTGATTTCCTTTTGCTATGGACCGAGGAGATGATTGTCTATCACAAAAACCCTCCACTACCAACATTGCCCTTCTTTCTTTCTTTCCGTTTTTATTAGAGGATTTCTACTTGCAATTTTAAAAATATGACATTTAATTTCGAGAGCGGACAGAGTGGCCTCAGGTCTGTTTCATCTCAGTCTTAAGGAGTCTCTTGCCAGTCCTTGGATAATTGGTGCTATTGCTATTTAAGGGCTTCAGTGAAGTTACATCTGAACTTCACGCATCATCCCAGCTTTTAGGCCTGAGGTCCGTGTATGTTGATTCAGGAGTGAGTTGTAGTGTGTTCAGAGGGGTTTACTTGTAAACGAGGGTGCATAAAATGTACTGCAGATTAAATCTCCACTGGTTTTATCTGTATGTTTTTGTAATGTCAAAATGGCAGAGCAGGACGTTGTAAATGAGGGTGCATAAAATGTACTGCAGATTTTTATCTGTATGTTTTGTAATGTCAAAATGGCAGAGCAGGACAGCTGTTTGTGTAGATGTGTATATCTTGATGCTACATGGAGAAATCTAGTATACATCATGCCTTTGGAAAGAGCTACAGCAGTAATCTTTTTTAAAAGCACTGCGGCCAGCATATCTGTTTGTTTGTTTGTTCAGTCATTTAGTCGAAAAAGCACTGTGGCCAACGTATCAGGAAACCCAATATTACAGGGAAAGGTTCTACAGTTATTAGTTTAAGCTGTTTGTTGTAAAAACGTTCTCTGTAATATTTGTCCCACCACCACCAGTCTCTCTCATAACACTTTTTAAATGACTCCTGCTGCTCCCATTGATTTGGAATGAGCTTAATTTGGGGTAATTTTTTATCATGTGAGCAAAGTGGTCAGAATGTTAGCAAATCCAAAAGAAAAATAAAAAAAAAATACAGAAGACCAAAATGTTGTGGCACCTTAAAGATTAACTGTTGTATTTTAATGTGAGCTTTTGTGGACACATCCACTTCTTCAGACATGAGAATGGGACTGCATGGCAAATATTTCTGCATTTATACATGGAACCATTGCCAGAAGAGACTGTACAGTATTTATAACGAGAGACTGTTTTTTTCTGGGCATAAGTTGTTGATAGTGTCACATTTCATATGGAGCAATGACCTTTAAGGCCTCTGTTGATATTCAGTTCCCCTTCTAGGAAGCATAGTTCAGTAAACAATGACAATGATGATAGCTAAATTAATCCCAGGCTATAGAAAACAAGCAGGGACAACATGGTAATGAGTATCTCTGATCAGCTTGTGAATTGGCACTGGTAGATAGTAAGGAAATATAGCTGGGAATTTCATCAGCTACAACACAGTATTTTGCATTGATTACTCTGTTTGGTTTTCCTTACACTGAAATGTCCTGAACATAGAAATGATTCGCCGATGTTTCTGCATGGCTGTGGTGTGTGTGCTCCTCTTTTGTAAGGCAGGGGACGTTGTCCACAGGACCAGTTCCAAGCTTCTCCCTCACTTGCCCAAAGGGATGGTCGGGGAGATCAGTAAGGAAGATGTTGAAAAACAGTCTGACAGGCATTTTGTACTGCTTGCAACAGAAATGCCCGAAGATCTTTCCTGCTTCTAGGGAAATGTTCCTTTACAAAAGAACAGGTGCATTTCTCTTATTGTCTGGTCTTTACAGCTGTGTTCATGTTCATTAGTGAATCTTATTCAGAGTTACCAGAGCTTCAGGAGAGAACAACATTGTTGGTGTTAAAATTCCTTTATAGAATATTATAATTGCAATATTATTGTACTGAGAGCTAGTGTGGAGTAGTTGACACAATGTTGGACTAGGATTCAGGCGACCTGGCTTCAAATCTCCACTTGGCCATGGAAACTGACTGAGCGAGTGGCGAATCACTCCTTGAACCTCTCACATACCTCGAAAACTGTGTCAGGATCACCATCACTCAGAACAACTGACAATAGATAATATCAGTTATTACATTACAGTTAAAACCTCGTAATGTAATTAGCTAGTTGACTAAATTCACTTAATAATTAAATCTGGTCCCGATTGTTTATTTTCTTCAAAAGAAGTGTGTCAGATAGAGATTTTGGCCTCTCTTGCTTCCACAAAGTCATTTTGCACTCATGAGAAATAGAAAAGCAGAATGTGTTACATTTCAAAACTGAAAGAATGTGTTGCCTGCAGAGCATACAGGCTTGCAAATGGAGTTTTGAAGGTCACCTATTTTCTTCCTTCCTGGCTTTGGGGATTTTGTTTCATTAGTGATTTTTAATGTGTGCACCATGTTACGTTTTAAAATATAAATCCATAAATACATGTAGTTTTGTAGTACATTTTGTAATATTGTTTTAATTAAACTGGTAATAAGATTATAAATTAAAGAAGATATAATTTTAATGCACCTCATCATTCAGCATCAGATGGTCCCCAAGGAAACATCAGGTGTGTATGTGTGTGTTTATTTGCATGTTTGATGACAAAAGGTTCTTTTTGGATTCACAAACAATGAACACACAAATGGAAGGTACAAAATTTTACTATTTAAAACACAACAGAACAGGGAGCATAAGTAGCAAAAGAGTAAAGAGAACTCTCATGCTTACTGAGAACTCTTAAAGAATGGCAGTGAGTGACCCCTTGAATCAGTACAGTGGGGTCTTGACTTGAGAACTTAATCCATATTGGATGGCGGTTCTCAAGTCAAAAAGTCTGTAAGTCAAGTCTCCATTGACCTACAGTACATTGAAAACCGATTAATCCCGTAACAGGCTGTTTTTGTTCCATTTTGGTTTTTTTCTGATCTGTAAATCAAATCTCATTCTGCAAGTCAAACCTAAATTTTGGGGCCAGAGAAGTCTGTAACTCAAAAAGTCTGTAAGTCAAGCCGTCTGTAAGTCAAGGGTCCACTGTAGTTACTTAGCACCTCCCAGGTGCTTTAGATCTATCCTGAGGCTCTCCAAACAAAGGGCATTGAGATCTTTTTATACCTTCAAACACCATGAATAGGTTCATTAAGCATTGCTATGTCCTGCCGACTTTCTTTATGTTTACATTTCACTAATTGGGAAAATGACAACAGTGCATGTCACCAACTGAGCAAGCTGGTAACTAAATCAGATATCAAAGTATATTAAGTTAATTCGAGAACTGTTGAGCCTGGCATTTATCAATACTGTAGATGGTTATCTTTGAACTTGTCCTTCCAGCACATCTGCACACCTATAATTGTG